TCCAAAAGGCTAATTAATAGAAACTTTTTACTATCAATTCCCTTCTTTTTTTTTTTTTTTGGTTAATTATTATTACAAAATTAATCCATCGGCGATGGCCTGATTCGTACTGAAATGCGTAGTTTCATACACTGGAAGTTCTTCGCGATACCTTTCGATTCCGATGGAGGAGAGATTATCCAATTCGAACAGATCAGAGCTCGAACAACTTGCTGCATCTTCGTCGTCATCTTCGTCTTCGTCGTCGTCTTCTTCTTCTTCTTCTCTGTTTATGTACACATCGTCATTGATCTTCTTTTGGAAACTGTTCATCAGATCTTTTGAAGCTTCCTCTGCTCGGCAATGGTCGTTTCTGATAGCGTTTCGCAGAGTTGTCGCTGCCGCCATTAGACCGAGCTCGTCTTGAAGGCTTTTGTGACCGCAAGGCCGAGAGTCTTCGTCTAGTATCACGCTCACAGGGCAGAATCTCACAGATCGTTTTGTACTGCTACTGTTGATGAGTTTCTCGCTTGACGATGGTGTTTTGCTTAGACAGGACCTAGAAAACGACGATGCGGAAGAACACGTCGATCCTTGAGAGGATTTTGATTTTCTCATACAAGCGTCATTTTGCTTGGCGGAATTTGTGAATTTCTGTTTCTTTGGACTTCCTCCATTGAAGAGAGAGTTGAGAAAGGTCGCCAAACGGCCGCCAGGAGAGATTGGCTGTTTCACTTTCTTCAGATCTCCGTAGATTTTTAGGGCTTTCGATTTCGTCTTCACGAAGCCGTTTTCGTTCTTCGGCTTCTCGAATTGAGGCTTCTCTGTTCTAATCGGCCTCGGCCTTTGCATTGTATAAGGAGATGACCTCGTTTCCGATTCGGACGAAGAAAATCCCCCTCCGGAACTCGATTCCGAAGAACTCGAACTCGAATTCATCAATTTCTTAAAATCACGATCGCGAACATTCCTCGCCTTCCGATCGAAATCCACCATAGAACTCCGACGAACAACAACCTTCTCACTCACCTTCTTTTCCATCCACTTCTCAATCATACAAGCGCGGCGGAAATTCAACCTATCGTCTTCATCCTCTTCAAAACCAATGCTCTGCTTCTTCCTCATAGTCTCTCTGTACAAGATCACCTGTTCTTCTCTCTCGTCGCCGTTGCTTTCGTCAATGGAGCGATAAATAGCGTCAAGAAGAGAGGAAGAGAAGGACGGATTCTGCTTCCGATGACGGCCGTGTCGATCTTCCTGCAGTTGTTTATCCCAAACATCCATGGATGAATGGTTATATAGAAAAAAAACTTGAAACCGAAACAATTATGGATGGCGGTGGTCGCTGTCCGGTTGAAAGAGCGTCAAAAGCTGTGGTGAAGGTATGATTATGAAGGAGAAAAACAGAGAGGGAAAAAGTGTTGCAGATCAGAGAGAATGTAAATGATCATCAATGGAGTTTTCGTGAGAGAGAAAAGAGAGAAAGAATGATGAGAGGAGAAGGCCACGCCTGAGAACGAAACTTGAACAGAGGAGAGAGAAAGCGCAGAGAGAATGATTGAAGAGAGAGAGAGAGGGAGAGTGTGTGTGTCTGTGATGCTGTGCTTCAGAGCCACTTATAAGAGCGACGGCCATTCAGCGCTTGCACGGGAAGCTGAATCAGCCAGGGTCCCAAACCATCGCTACGGTAAATATTTTTAATATTGGATTGATTTATTTATTTTATTTTATTTTTCAATTTAAATTTGGTTGATTTTTTTTTTTAAAAAAAAAATATATAAGATTACAACTCAGACCTACTCTAATATAGATTAAGAATATTTTGCATTTATAATGAGGTTAGTAATGTATTGTTACCTGTAAATGTTTGACTTTTGTGGATTGAGTTGTGAACTTTATTTGAATTACTCGAGTTATTATCCCGACCAATTCGACGAAATTCAAGTTGGTCTAAAAGATTTTCCCATTTCAATTCAACCCATATCGCTCATTTTTATGGTTAAATTATGAATATGATTCTCGATCGAGATTTAAACTCTCGAGAATGTTTGACTAAATTACATTCAAATACTAAATATACACGACATTTTCACATGTCAATGGATGATAAATATAAATATAATAAAAATGGTAAACATTGTAACTTTTAAAAGATGGAAAGTGCATATTTATTATAAGAATTAATTCTTTAATTTTTTTTGTATAGAAATATTGACATCTAAATTATATTGAAAAATTTTGAAAAATTGGAAAAAAATTTAGTGCAATGGTACAAGAAGGACCATTTATCGTACGAGAAAACCCTAAAGTACCCTCGCAGATCACGTATTTGTTTCCATTCACATTATATATTTTTTCTGACTATTTAATATTTTACTGTTACGAGATTCTACATAATTCTTAAACAATGTTGATTTACAATAAATAATACCTGGACGGGAAAACTTGTTTTTCAACCTTATCCCACATGATGTCATCTCTAATCAGCTATAACGGTTGACTTTTTTTTAATACGAGTGATGATATGAAAATTTAAACTCCTAAAAAAAAGTACATACGGACTACTATTGAGCTAACCCAACTTTAATAGGATGGACGTTTTTTTTGCTTCAAACTTGTGATTCGTATGAAGAAGTGTTATTATGTTAATGTTTGGTAGTTGGTGTGTTCTTATGAGTAAAAAAAAAAAAGGTCAACTAATGCGGCAGCTTCTCATCATAATTCTTTGGGCGCACGGCAACTTTGTTGTGGAGGACTTAGAACTTTACCCACAGTCAAAGGAACCCTAAAAAGCCCTAAATTCAAATACCCTAAACCTCATTCATACATATATTATATATATATAGGTCTATAAAACGTTCCAACCCGTCCAAATCCAACTCACAAACACCTCTGGTGCAAAGAAATGCACTCATTCCCACAACCCTTTTCGTTCTTTTGTACGTTCGTATTAGCCAAAATTAGATTCAGGGTTTTATTACTCACTCTCGAGTCGTCTAATTCCATCTTCTGTTCTTGCTTTTCCACTCGAGCAACCCTATTTTCACCTTGAATTGGTCAAGATATGCAAAAAAAATTTAATTTTAGCAAATGATCCGATCTAGAAACCGGAGGTCTATATCTAACAAATACTGCAGATCATATGTATCGGTCCAACTAGATCGAACCCTAAAATTATATCGAACAAAGCAAGAACATGCACGACATTATTGAATCATGAGTCTTGATTGTAGTGATGGGGAAGTATTTATGATCCCCAATCTTGTTAATGTGACTTAACTACTTTGAAACATAGTCATCTTTTTTTAATAAGGCAATTGGGATATGTCTTGGATCCAAATAAAGATTCAATCATGATGTTAGATCTTATTGTAGATGAAACTAAATATATGAAATGGTTGATTCAAGATTTGCATGTTGTTGTCAACTTTGTATGATAATCATTATTATGTGTCTAAATATATATTATTGCTTTTTTTTTCTTTACTTACTTGGTAAGTATGTATATATATATATATATATATATATATATATAAAATATTAAAATTTTAAAACTTACGTTAAATATTATATTATATTTTGGCTTATGAAATGTTACGATATTGTAATTTTTTTTTTTATCAAAATTCTATTGGAAAATGTAAATTATGCACTACATCTTTTTTAACGAAGATTTAAAAAAAAAAATGTATTAAACATGGAAAAAAAAAACATGCAGAGAATCTTCGTTCTAATCCCTATGAAAATAAACGAAAATAGGGATGGAGATTGAAATAACAGACAGGGACGAAGATAGAAAAAGTTTTGTCATTTGTCATCTCCTCTCTGTTACACGTGTTAGGTTGAATGACAATGTAACCTATATGAGTCATGATTTCATGTATTTATAGATGTGTACCATGAGGATTACAGTGTAACAAACCATGAAATCATAGATTTGGTAACAAGCAGTAAATCATAGATTCTCGGTAACAAACAAGTAAAACATTTGGTAAAGAAATTATAGATTTGATAACAAACAGTAAATCATAGATTCTCACAAACAAGTAAATCATAAATTCTCACAAACAAGTAAAACAGATTTGCACAAACGAGTAAAACAGATTCTCTGTAACAAACAAGTAAAACATCATAGATTCTCCCAAACGAGTAAAACAGATTCTGGTAACAAACAAGTAAAACAGTAGATTATCTTACTATGTACAGATATGATCTATTCTACTCTAATTCTAGTAAAATTTTAGCATAAATTCGATGTATAATGAATATATTCAGAGCTACATCTTAAGAAATTTCGTGAACGAAATGTAATGCTAAAATTCCGATAAAAAAGAGATACAATGAAAATGAAGAGATCAAAATGGTCGAACTAAAATTTTAAAAAAGAAATGATCTAAATATGCATTATATAAACCAAAAAAAAAAAAATTAAAGAAACCCAACATTTTAATTTTAATCATTTGTGTTTTAGGTTTGAAACCCTAAAACCTCTCAACATACTCAAAAGAGAGCATGAAAACAATGGCACCTACCCAATTGAGTACATTTCCAACAACAATCAATAGTTCCATTCAAAGCTTCCTTTGGAGGTCTTTGCATGCTTCATATTAACTAGTTTATATCTTAATTAATTACCCTCACCCCCCACTCCTTTTAAATCATGATACCGACCTATTTACGTCACCGAGATAACATGAAACCACTCCATGTTCAATCTCGTGATCTTGTTGTTATTATTATTATTTTAATCTTGATCGGGTATAATGTCAAACTTCACAATATCGAGTAATTGAGATAGCTCATATGCGACCAGTCCTTACAAATGTGGAGGTTAAATTGAAATGCGTAAGGTTTAAACTAATATGAAAGTTGAAGTTATTATCTACCTCTATTTTCTCTGTTGCATGTTCGAGACCAATGTTATGAACGACAAGTGAGCTCATTCTAGATGGAGTAATCGAGTGAGCTGCAATGTCCGACGATACCCTGTACCTTGAAATGACGTCAAAACATATGGGTCATGTTAATTGAGAACCAAAATGAGACGATGAGATGCAACACCGTATCAAGAGACCTTGGCCCCGAGTACAGGCAAAGTCGAGCCGAATGATTTGGCCTAGTATAGAGGCAAGGTGGCGTCTGTGGACGAACAAACTTGAATTCCACACAAGTGATATTCAATTGACGAAAACAAACCTCGCCTAAGTTTGATGAAGCCACAAAGTCGGAACAAAAAATGAATATAGAGCTCAAGTTACCCTTAAAGCTTATCGTAAACATGTCAAGATTAGACACTGTATAGTTAAAAAAGTATAACCGTACGAAAGTCAAATGAAAATTATTAATTATTTTGACGAGAAGATAGATAGGAATAGAAGTCAAATGGAAAAAGAATATTGTGGTTCATATTTATAGTGAAAGTCATTCCAAATTGTCAAATATATTGGAAGAGGGAATATCAAATATATATATAAAAAAGAGGAATGGAATCCATGAAATTACTTTACATTTATAAACAAGATATTATGCTTATGTCTAAACTAATAATAATAATAAACAAACAAACAAATAAATATATTATTTATAAATTAAAAAAAAAATTGCACACATCCCTTCATATGCATACGTGTGTGTTTATGAGAGAGGTTCTTATTGGGACAATAATTGTGTTCGTGGTCATAGAGCTTTTTTTTTTTCATTTTTCATTTTTTTAAAAAATAATTTTAAGAGAGAGATATGATTTGATTATCCTAACGAAATAGATTAGAATAAAACAAATCACTTAATTAAAGAGATCAAGAGGGATAGGGATAGGGATAGGGGTAGGGGTAGGGGTAGGATTTCAAAGTTTTTATTAAAAAAATTAAAAAAGAAAACTAATGAACTACGTGTACGAAGACAAAAGAGAGTCCCCTATTGATATGGTTAAGTTAAGATAAGAACATGATTATGATACCACTGATGAGGCAGCAATCTCTACAATGATACGATATTCTCTACTTTAAGCATAATCTTTTCTCAAAATATCTCATACCAATAAAGATAATGTCTTTTACTTATGTACCCAAAAGAGAACATTGCAGAACTCCAACATTCAATAGGTTTTTTGAACGTTTAACGTCGTGCTTAATAAATACCTTATATATAAAACATTAACAGTTCAAAGACTTACGGATACGAAATTAAAGGCTATGAACTTAAATATCAAATACTTTCTAAAGTTTGAAACTTACACATATTTCATAGGAATCGTAAAATTTAAAGACTAAATTTGTAATTTTAATCCTAAAAAGATATGAAAATATGAAAGATGAATTGGAATTCCATGTTAGGGACCCAAAATTCGAACCTTAGGAGATATATCATAATGAGAGTTGATGATGATAGTGGGATGCAGCCCCCAATTAGATTCGACAAGTCTCAAAGGGCTTAGAATAACATGTGGTAGAGGAATCAAACTTACCCTTTTCTTTTCTTAATCATGTGAAATATGCTCAAATTTTAACTTTAATCCTTCAACTTTTATAAAGTTCATCATTCCAATGGGAATTACTTTTCCCCCTTGTCTCTTCTTTTAATTTCTTTTTTCCATTTCTTTTTCTTAGATGAGAGCAGCATCCATTATTTTAAACGGATGGGCGCTCTAGACCATTTTGATTCACTTCATTGGTCTAAAATCATTTTAACTATGGACTATTGGCCTCCCTCTACAATCGTTTTGATCTACGACTTTTGTGGTTTTGAGAGAAAATGTGTTGGTAAGAACTAAAATTCTGTAGTGTTCATGAAGTACCTACTCTTCAAGATCAAGTTCAAGTTCAAATCCTCACGTTCATATTCAAATTATAATATTAAAGAAAAACTAATAAGAATCATTCACATATCAACTTGAATATCACTCAACTACTTAAGGTATATGAACTTAGCCAAAAGATCAAATATTTGAATTCCTAGCTCCAAAAGAAGAAAAGAAAAAAACAGTAGTTTCAAGATAAATCGTGTAAATGTTTCACCATCCTTCTATTCACTCCTAACAATCTTTAGGTAAGGTTAGCTTCCACAAATTTGAATTTCTAGTTCAAAAAAAAAAAATATAGAAATTTCAAGTGAAGTCGTGTAAATGGAGCCATGTTAGCTACCTTTCACCATCCTTCTATTCACTCCTAACCATCTTGATTTGTAGCATACTCGATCAAACGGGTGATTTTCTCGCCTACTACAGATCCCATACTACCCCCCATAAACTTAAAATCGAAAGAAGTTTTTACGGGATCCCTATCTACCAAAATTTTGACTTCTCCTAACCATCTTTAGGTAAGGTTACTTTCTTAACCAAAAAAAAAATCAGATATTTGAATTCCTAGCTCCTAGAAAAAAAAAATTCAAACTCAAGTGGGAACCAGAGTTAGCTAGCTTTCACCGTCCTTCTATTCATTCCTACTATTCATTCCTACCCATCTTTAGGTAAGGTTAGCTTTTACCATCCTTTTATTCCTGTCATTGAATTAGCTAAGATTCTTTTCATTCTCTTTGAAAGTTTTGTTCTCCTGGAAAATATATACATAGCTAACACTAGCTATCACCATCCTTCGATTCCTATTGATCTATAGCTTTCTTTCTCTTTTTCATTCAACAATTTATGGAGTGAAGATTGAACAGTCAATCTTATCAATGATGTTTTTGTCCATTAAACTATACGTTTGGCCTATTAATCTATAGCCAAAGTTGCTTCCAATATAAATAGTACTAGCTTTCACCATATTATTTGATTCCTAACAGGCAATATAACTCAAGTTAACTATTACTATCCACATACCGACAGAAATCCACAGTCGCGGGTCTAAGAAGAGAAAAATAAGAAAGAGGATTATGTAATATGAGAAACAGTAAGCAGCCACATTGCATTAGTCAAAAGCAGACAAAAGCCGTAATAGTAATTATGAACATAGAGCCTTACTTTCCAACTTGGGTTTTAATCCTGCTATATTTAATTCTCCAACACTCATTTTTCCACATACATCTAGACATCAAGTAAATTAATTCCGTTAATAAATATTGTCCGCTTTGATCCGTTACGTATCGTTGTTAGCCTCATGATTTTAAAACACGTCAAATAGGGAGAGATTTCCACACCTTTATGAGAAATGCTTCGTTTTCCTATCCAACCAATGTGGGATCTCACAATCTACCTCCCATGGGGCTCAGCATCCTCACTGGCACACCGCCCGATGTCTGGCTCTAATACTATTTGTAACTGTCCAAGTCCACCGCTAACAAATATTGTCCGTTTTAGCTTGGTACATATTACCGTCACCTTCACGGTTTTAAAACACGTCTAATAAGGAGAGATTTTCACACCCTCCTAAAGAATGATTCATTCACTCTCCAATCAATATGGGATCTCACATTTAGTATCTACGATCACAAACCAAACAGGTTGCAAGTAAACAAATAATCGGTTTTCTGTGTTTTTTTTTTTTTTTTCCCTTTAACTTTTCAATTTGAATGTAAGAGTGGAAAACAAATATTTGATGTTAGAGAAAATAATTGGTGTTTTATCCGCGGAGCTCCGAAAATCAGTTTTATACAGTTACACGATTACTTCTATGGGGTGCAGGCTTGGCATTCAAGTGTGGGAATGTTAAGTCTGCAGTTTAAGAGGAGCACTTAAAAGAAGTTTAAGCTAACCAAGTCTGTCCAGGTACAGGAAGCCTAACCTTAGAAAAATTGCGTGAATTGTTAGGAATCACGACTCTCCACAATAGTATGATATTGTCCACTTTGAGCCTAAGTTCTCATGGCTTTGCTTTGGGCTCCCCCCAAAAGGCCTCATCTCAATGGAGATGTATTCCTCTATTTATAAACGCATGATCATTCCCTAAATTAGGGAATTAGCCAACGTGGGACTCACTCCCAACAATCCTCAACATGAATTAGTGGGTCTGGAATACTGCCAAAACCAATAGGATTGTCTAATAAATCTTGGATCGACAAACCAATAGAAGAAACATGGGTTCGAATCTTAATCTAAACTTGAAACTCAAACCTTCACTTCAAACACTCCTTTGAAGTTGGTTTTTCTAAACAGAAATGAAGACTTACAAAAAGTAAGCTATAAAGATCCTAAATTTGTGCAGTTCTTGCTCACAAGCTAGTAACTGGTTCTCTGTAGATGTAATATACTAATCTAATGGGCAAAAAAGTGTCAATTTCATAATAACAAATCTTCAATACCTGAAGCCAAATGCCCAAACTCCCTATTCTGCCATAGGCAGTGCCCGGATACGTATTTAATGTCCCTGTTCATTCAACATGATAACCATTTAATTTTTTGTTTTTGAAAATTAGGCCTATCTATACTTTTTCCACCAATTGGTTTGCTTATTTTGTTGCCTGATCCAAGTCAAGTTTTGAAAACTATGCCATCCATTGAACGATTCACGGCTGATGGAACAAAAAGAAAAAGATGCAATGTCCCTGGCTACATAACTGTATTCATAACTCTACAGCACATGTATTCTAATATTTTTAAGGGGCAACAACGGAGAGAAATGAAGAAACAGGACTAAGAAGTGAATGTTAGGGATCTCGGATCTCCACGATGGCATGATATTCTCTACTTAGAGCATAAACTCTCGTGGTTTTACTTTTTGTTTCTCCAAAAGGCCTCATACCAATAGAGATGCATTCCTTACTTATAAATTCATGATCATCTTCTTAATTAGCCATGATGGGACTCTCCCAACAATTCTCAATAGTAACTTGCTGGTAGAATTCTAAGTGAAAGCTTTTTAAAGGAATTCCACTCCCTACTCTGCTTGCTTCTGATTCCCTACGAGCTATTTGACGATTATACTTTTTTGAAGGGTTGGAAAACTAAGAGACCACTTTGTGTTTTCTTATCCTTTTCCCGCTCTAGGAGTAGTAGCAGCACAAAAAGAAAGATTCGGATTCTTGACCCAAGCAACGGTAAAGGATAAATGTTTCATTTTCTAGGCTTTTGGAGAGAAATTTGAGGGGGTTTTCAGCGGTTAGGTCCCACAGAAGGACACACTTGGAAGCAAACAAAATGTCAATTCATATTTCTAATTTCTGCAATACCAAGGAAAAAAAAGAACTCAGATCTCAAAGACACTGAAAGAGTTAAAGGCCACAATTATCACTACCAGAACAAGATGACAAACATTTGATCCACAGAAAAAAAAGAAATCGAGTATGTTGACTATGCAATCTGGATTCTGTTTAATGTGTTCATATGCCTTTGTAGATTTCACGTTCTTGATAGATCGAAAAATGGATGAAAATAAGGCTTCATTAACAGTCAGATCCACTACGAAACCATCCAGTTCATTTCGTTACCTAAATCACTGCTCCAATTTCAGAAACAGAACGACTATCAAGCCGTCTTTTCAGATTCTTAGTCATTATCGAAAAAGCGAAAGCAACTAAAATCAATCTGAATTTCATCTAATTCTTCTTCATGCTTTTCTATAAGATTCTAATCAGAAAATTCCACAAGAACAAGGAAAACGCATTTTCTTTGAACTCCAGTAGTAGAAAACAGCTCGACGAGTATTTTACCTGCGAACTAAGTGCTTTAATTAGCGCTCTACTCCTTCGTGTTGGAGCAGAGATCATCCATTGCTGAGCTGCTTCGATCAAGCGTACAACGGCCCACAACATCTCTGGAATCTCAGCAGCACACAATGGATTATCTCATTCACAACTAAGGCCGTCCGAAGCCTTTGGTTAAAATTAATTTTGAAAAAATTACAAAATTTTAAATTATATAATTTTTTGTAAATTAAAAATTTTAAAAATTCAGTCATTTCCTACGAACAAATTTTAAAGTTTTATATATCATTACACATATATTTCATAATGATTTGATTAATTTTTAAAATGCTCAAACTATAATTATTTGTTGGACGATGAAAATCCCACGGCTAATTTAGGGAATAATCACAGGTTTATAATCAAGGAATACTCTTACCATTGATGTGAGGCTTTTTGGGGAAACCCAAAGCAAAGTCACGAGAGCTTATGCTCAAAGTGAACAATATCATACTATTGTAGAAAGTCGTGTTCATCTAACGTGGTATCAGAGTTATGCCCTAAACTTAGCCATGTTAATAGAATGCTCAAATATCGAACAAAGAATCAGAGTCATGCCCTAAACTTAGCTATATTAACATAGAATTTTCAAATATCGAACAAAGGATATACTTTGTTCGAGGCTCCAAAGAAAGGAATCGAGCTTCGATTAAGGGGAAACTTATAGTATACTTATGCTCAAAGTGGACAAAATAATACCATTGTGGAGGGAGGCTTATAGCATACTTATGCTCAAATTGGACAATATCATACCATTGTGGAGAGTCGTGTTCGTCTAACACTATTTATTTGACTTTACTTACATTATTTGAGTATTTGTATTGACTACTTATGTTCTATTTATTTTGACTCAAATTATTAATATTATTCAAGTATATGTAGTAATGTGTTAGTGTATTTAAATCACATATGGGTTAAACAAATTATGGCTAAAAAATAAAAAACGATTATTTTTAATGTTTAAAAAAAATCTATCTTTTTAAAAGGTCAATAATTCTCTATTTCCAATCCAATGATTCAAGACAGACATCGAAGAAGATGCCCAGAAACTTGGGCCTGAAATGGGCCTGAAATCAGAGCTTAATGGGCACATTGAAAGCCCATGGAAAGAGAAATCTTTCTGAAATGAGAGACAGAATGAACATCAGCATAGATTCTGTTATCCCTACTATCATAAGTCACATAGAGAGGTCTAAATTGAAAGAAAAAGAGAGGCAGAGATGCAATTCCATTAAGCTATACCCCATCACAAATACTGTTCTTGTATCCGAGCTCGGTTCTCTTCCCACCATAATCTCGCATGCATTTCTCCGAACTTTTCTCGACTGGATCAAAACGAATCGAACTATGGTCAGATTTTTTAGGTAAGTCAAGAACAAGATGATTCTGAACACAGACCTTGACTATGGTTTCCAGCTTAATATACCAACCAAGATGAACATATGACAATTGACAATACAGTTTGTTTAAGATCAAGCTGTAAGTGTTGTTTAAGAGGCTAAATTCTGTACCAATTTATCATAGACTTGTTAAGTAGAGACAGTTTCTTTACCTGAATCGAATGCGTCTCAGCTCCCTCGAGCCACCCGGAAGAGACCGGATGGTGATATAGACTCCTGATTCGTCCTGCTCGATCCATTCAGTCTCCAGATCACTGGCATTACTTACAGAAAAATCTTCTGATTGGTCTCCCTCACTCGTCCTCACAGAACCATCTACAGATGGTGTCTCGATCTTGGCGTCGTTTGCACTGGAGGGTTTCATGGATGAAGCTAAATCATAGCCATGAGTGGGTTGGTTAGGATGGTGATCAAGTGACTCGGATAACGAGTTTCCCATTGGGCGATCGGAGGTTTGAGGAAGCCGCTGGTTGGTCAAATGTCGAGTAGCGGGGCTGTCCTTGGCAGATTCAATCTTGGAGCCCTGGAAAAAAATATTGCTCTTATCATTCTAATCTGCAAACATGACCGAAAGTAATTTTAACCATTTCAAAACTTCGACTTATATCACGATTAGTACGATGCTCAAAACTCACCTCGTCTTCCGACAGTGGAGGGGATGGCGGGAGGGGAAAAGCTTCGCTGTTGAACCGCTGGACATTATACAACTCCATAACCTTCTCATAATTTTCCGCCCACCATCTTTCAGCTTGCCATTTGTTGAACAATTCACGGCTGATTGATGAAAGAAAACGAGTCTTAGCAATCAATCATAAGCAATTACAGGAAGATTGAATGCGTTAATGATATTCAAATTCATGATTCTCATACCCACAAGCATAGAAAAGAAGGGAATGAAATAAAATGTTTAATCCAAACCAAATCACAAGACTCCACTTCCTAAGCTTATTTTACAGGACAAGGTAAGTACAAATCTTATTGGGAAGCAATCTGGAGAAGTTTCATAGCACCAGAGAACAAACTATCCAAACATTTTCAGTCTAATACCATATCAAATCACCAATTAATCTAAGGGTAAATTTAGTTATGGCAATCTTCAAACAGTGTATAAACCTTAAGCACACGGGTAGCAGATATTGTCTTCTTTGGGCTTTTCCTTTCGGGTTTCCCCTCAAGGCAAAACGCGTCTGCTAGGGAAAGGTTTCCACACCCTTATAAAGGGCATTTCGTTCTCCTCCCCAACCAACATGGGATATCACAATCCACCCCCCTTCATGGCCCAGCCTCCTCACTGGCACTCGTTCCTTTCTCCAATCGATGTGGGACTCCCACCAAATCCACCCCCTTCGGAGCCCAACATCCTTACTAGCACACCACCTCATGTCAACCCCCTTCGAGGAACAGCCTCCTCGCTGGCACATCGCCCGGTGTCTGGCTCTAATACCATTTATAACAGCCCAAGCACACGATAGCAGATATTATCCTCTTTGGGATTCCCCTCAAGGCTTTAAAACACGTCTGCTAGGGAAAGGTTTCCACACCCTTTATAAGGGTGTTTGGTTCTCCTCCCCAACTAATATGGGATATCACAGACACAATCTGACAAGCAAGTGAACCACTTCCAGACAAATTGATGTCTTCAGCAACAGTTGAAATCCAAATGATTTACCTGAAACGAATTCGTTTGAGATCGTTTCCTCCTTGTGGAAATGAAACGAAAGTGATAAGCACACCAGGCTCCACCTGCGCTACCCATTCCTTGGGTTCGTCTTCTTCCATGAAAACAATCTCAGTTCGTCCACTCCCTGAAGCTGGAGTTCCTTCCCCACTTGACAGAGCTTTCAATCTGGCCTCCATTTCCTTTCCCCATTGCCTTGGTGTGGAATTTGAACTCCCATTCCGCCTGTAGGGACAATGAAACCTCGCCGAATCTGATGCAGAATCAGATTCTGCATATTTATACTTGCGGTTATCGCTCGATGAACCTGAACATGGCTTGCAGTTCTTGTAAGCTCCCGAGGCTTTCAGTGCGATGTCCTTGATCTGAAAGTAGAAGAAATAATTTCAGCCATAAACATCAATTTGACAGTAAAATGAGCTTTCAAGAAAGTAAAAAACAATCGGAACACGTCAATTTCGCATTGATTCATCATAAGAATTCCTTAACACATCATCTGGCCTCTTTTCCCCAACTTCGAAAATCGAACAATTATCTTGTTCCTCAATTTTGATTCCAGAGAAAGTGAAGGAAAATGAAAACGAAAGAACGTAAATATCTTCAAAATGTTCAATCAACAACGATTCCATAAGATAAAATTTCCCTCCAAATTGTACGAACCAAGCAGCCACAGACTTCATTTCCTTGAAATTTCGGAGAATAGAAACAGAAACACAGAAAGGAAATGTTTACCTGAGCAGTGAGGGCCTTGATTGTTTGTTTAGTCCTCGGTGTAGCAACGGATTCTTCTCCCTCCTGCTGGTGCAGAGATCCATTGTTGTGTTGCTTCGAGCAGGTTACGCACGTCAACATCTCTGGTACGGAAAGCAACAATCCACTGAATTTTTTAACGCGAATGACTTTAGGCGAACCGAGTTCGAGAAGCTCAGTAACTGCGCAGAATCACAAGATCTTGTCTCTTATAAACTAAACCAAGATCAAAAAGTAACTAAGAAAAAGAAGATTAAAATCGAAAGGCTTAAGGAATACGGAAGAATAAAGCAATGGAATAAAAAAGAAAGAAACAAAAAACAGAAAAGCAAAGCAAATGGAATGGAATGAAGAGAACTATTCACCAGTAGCAGGACAAGACAAAAGGCAAAAGATCAAACGATCACGTCCAGCAGTCGCTTTCCATAACTTTCAATCAGGACCCGTAGAAAGAGAAAGAAACCGATTATGGAGAAGAAGAAGAACGAAAAAGTCGATTGGATTGGAAGTAATCGAATCGAATCGAATCGTCGGGATTAGAAAAAGAGGGTTTCGTGGCTACGAAACTTTAAGCGCGCGCGCACACACACACATTCATCAGATTCTTCCTTCCTCCATTCCTCCCTTCAATCGCTTTCATTCCAGCAGACTTTAATCTCTCTTTTCTTTTCTGCTTTTCCTTTTCCGACGATCAGCGTGAAAGCCAGTTACGAGGAGTGAAACGCACTCAATGTCTTCTTCTTCTTCTTCTTCTTCTCTCAGTGGACCATTGAGATTTGGGCTGCAGAAACGTACAGAGGTACTTCTCTACACTCCATAACGCTTGCTCCGGCGCGAAGCAACGCAGAGCCGCCCTATGTGGCTATGTATTGAATGCGTAGCGCAGCCGTGGACCTCCGCCGCCGCCTCTGCAGAAAGGAAGAAAGAGGAGAGGCGTTTTTGTGTTTGGGAATTTGATATGATTCAGACACGAGGTTGGTGACCCACTCACGTGCACTACCAACATTTTTGGATCTAAAATAAAATCAAAAGAAAAATAAATAAATCAATTCAATCCACTAACTTTCCACTCCTATCCATTAAAATTTTTATTACTTTATCGCCGAATAAATCTAAATTAATATTTTTATGTTTTTATAAATAAAATTTTAAATGCATAATTATATTTTAAAAAATATATTGTTTCACGTTCTAAACTTTATATTATAAATTATATATATTATATGGTAAAGTAGCAATTATACCAAAAAATAAAATAATAATAATAATAAATTTAAATTAATTAATAACATAAAAATTCATTTAATCAAATTGA